TGCAAGCTGCTCCCCCCCCCTTAAAACGCCCCTGTAACCACCCGAAATGCCGGCGAGAGTGAAGCACTGGCGTGTATGCTGCGTGTCCTGCGGTTCTGCCGGGGGCTGCGTGCTCGCCGGGGCCGCGGTTTGGTCTTGTTGTAACGAAACTCAACAGCGCGAAGGACAGCCGGAGCCTTAAGTTCATGGCTTCCTCGGTTTCGGCCATGAGAACAGAAATGAGAAAAACAGGAAACGTGGTAAATACGCTGATCTGGTTCCTATGGACCTTGCTTATATAAATGTGTTATTCAAACTCCTCGAGTTAGTCCTGGATCTCGTGAGGCAGGTCAAGAGTGGATTTTTTTATAAGCGTTTGAAAAGTAAACTCGTAGCACAATAGCTGCCTGCAGCAGCAGCATAACGGGATGCCTAGGGTCAGTGTAAAACGGAATTTTAATCTGATTCCAGGAAACAAATCTGATTAACCAATCGATTTACTTCCTCACTGCTGTTTGGCGTTCTCACAGTGAACATCTTTCCACCGTAGAAAAAGACACCAATGGAGATGCTTTGTGGGTTTGGTGTTATCCGTCCGTAACAGCTGAACTGAGGAATCTATTGCTGAGAAAATGCTGCCTTACAGATGAGAATAAATTGCTTCATGCCTTTGTGTTTGGCCAGTATAAGAGATCATGGTTCTACATCGCAACTGTGGAAGTTCAAGATTCTCCAGCCTTGAAAAAGGTAGGACTGTTCGCTATCACACCTCCTGCTTGTTTTTCAGCAGTATACAAGGAAGATTTTTGTAGAGCTTTCTCCGGCCTTTTTTTTTTTTATATAATATCTAAGCAGTGTTAAATACACCATTATGTGCTGTAAGGAAGGGAAAAAATTCGAAGTTTTGTATGCTCATGGATGCAACCCAGCTGTTATTCTTACCTAGTCCACATATCTCAGTTTTCTCAAAGATGTATGCTGATTAGAGTTGTAGGGAGATTCAGGTACATAGGATCTAAATTGTGTAATGACTATTAAAGCAGACTGAACAGAAATAATGGTGTGAAATAACCATCAATCTAATTACTTTGCATTTTAAGTCCAACAAGTTTTTGGGTTTTTTTTTTTTTGGTTGGTCGGTTGGTTTTGTTTGGTCAAGCAATCTGTATAAAGGGTCTAGCATCCAGACTCTTATTGCTATAGAACTATTGCTATAGAATTTTTTCCAAACTTGCATATGTACCTTCTCTTCCACTGCATTGATAACTGGAAGACTGAAGATGTACAATGTGCTTGTATCTTCTACGCTTTCCCTGCGAGGAAGGTCATCGAACTGTCTGTTAAGTTTATTCAATTTTCATGTTCCCTGTTGTATTGTTAAGTAGAAATATAATCTGGTAATTTTACGTGCCCACAGCAGCATGTTGTTGGACTTTCCTCACTCAAATTTTATGTCTCTTATGAAGCTGAAGGGTGTAAAAAATGCCCAAGTGGGTCACATCAGTGATATGTGTGCCCCAGTGCCATCTCAGATGGCGGCAGTAGGAGATGCTGTTTAAGGAGGATGTGTGAGCCTGGTCATTGTCAGCAGATTTCTAGGCTCATACGCTCCCAGTATCCACAGTCCACAATTAAGGAAGTTAAAGGATATGTCTGTTTATGGGCCTGTTAGCCATGGATTTGTCTAATCTCTTTTTGAACCTGACAATACCGCGTGCCTCCACAACCTTCTTTGGCAACAAATTCTAGAAGTTTGCTACCTGCTGTGGGAAGAAAAAAGATGCTTTTATCTGTTTTGAACTGATCTCATGACATTAAAGGAAAAGCAACTCTTATATTATAAATTAAGCAAACATAACGTGTATTAGATCTGACTCAGGGGAAGTGAGTCACACTAGAAATTCACTAACCAGATCTTTTCTGAAGTTAATAGATTGGATCTGCCATTACAGCTCACTTTTTTCTTTTAGCATTGAAACATCTTGTCTGAACAGTGCAGTAAAATTCAATAATGTAAACAACTCCGTTAATATGGGATCGTATAAAACAAGCTGTGTATTTTTCTATGTGTGTGTATCTTGCTCAGGTGACCCACTTCTCTATTGTTCTGACGGCCAAAGACTTCAACCCTGAGAAATATGCAGCCTTTACTAGGATACTGTGTAGGTCTGTATAAAAGTTGTCTTTGAATGTTACTGTGTATGTATTTTGATCTTGTCAGGCCAAAAGACTAATGCAACATATTGTTTGCATTTGGTCTAACGAACTGCTGGAAATTCTGTCCTACAACCTGTGAATGAAACTATAAAATCTAGACTGGTGACTGATTTGATCCGGTTGTCTCGAGTTCACGCAAGTGTGTTGGAAGAATGCCAGACACCCCGTATGTTTTATCATGGGGGTCTTCCCTCTGCCACACATGCACGTTTTCTTCAAGAACATCCAGGATGGATTTCTAAATTAAAAACGACAGCTGAGTTTCAAATGTGACAAAGCTTTGTGCCACAGCTAAAATGGAAAACAGGTAGTTGAGAGCTTCAGCATTATTTCTGAAGTACGTTAACTTGTAAAACATGCTGTGTTTCTACAACTTACTTCTGCTGCCCTGAAAGAAACTGAGCTTACATGAAGGGGGATAGCTAACTAATGGCGTTATAGAAGGAACATTTTTAATGTGTGTGAAGGACATAACTGATGAAACATCAAAATACAGATACATTTCATCCTTCTGTACTCTTTGTTAACGATACTTGGATAATCCAAAAACTGGTCATGGGATCAGCATGTAATAACATGCAATAATGTTTTTATGCAGTATGTTTACTAAAGTGCTGGCTCCTCTCTGAAATAGGAAGCTCTAATAGCTCTAATAGAAGTCAGGTGTTCAAAATAAGGATTCTTCCCAAAGATATTCCATTGGTGATACTATGATCTTTTCGTATGTTTGTTGCTACTGGTTGCAGTAAAAATACCAGACTCTTTCTTTTCATACAGAATCTACATGAAGCATGGGACCCCAGTTAAAATGATGGAGAGTTACATTGCAGTTCTTACAAAGGGGATCTGCCAAAGTGAAGAAAATGGATCTTTCCTCAGCAAAGATTTTGATGCTCGGAAGGCTTACCTTGCTGGTTCCATCAAAGGTTAATATCAGAAATCTGTATTCTTATTTCATTCGTACAATATATGAAATAATGTGTGTGTCCAACTATGTAGACTACAATTCAGTTTTCATGTATTATTCAAGTAAATAGTATGAACATTAGTATCTGTGTTATTATTACTAAGCTTCTTCAAAAACTAGTCAGAATATCAGCATGTTTATCTTCTTTAAAAATAATTTTCCCCCTCTTTCCTAGATATAGTATCTCAGTTTGGAATGGAAACAGTTATCCTTTATACAGCACTGATGTTAAAGAAAAGAATTGTAGTATACCATCCTAGAATAGAAGCTATCCAGGAGTTTACCAGGTACAGCGTAACTCTTTCAATCCCTACCTCCCTGCCCACCCGCAAAAGTCCAGCAAATCTTGAACCTTCATTTAGAGAAATATCCATATTTGGAGGGGAAAAAGTACATTATTAATTTTGTGTTTACTGAAATTTACTGAAAAACTCAGAAGTTTAACAGTAGAATGAATGATAAACTCTGCTTGCACTGATAGCAGAAATCTCTATGCAGCCCATGAATATATGTGCTGAGTGAGACCCGATCATATTTGTTCGTCCTTATGACATGCATTTCATACTGTGAAACTTCTAATTAGTACAGGTAAAAGTCTACTGTGTGTCAAATGCCAATCTCATTTCCCTAGGACTCTGCCTGCTTTAGTGTGGCATCGACAAGACTGGTCAATTCTTCATTCATATGTACATCTAAATGAGGATGAAATAGAAGCCTTAAAAGCCTGCACAGGTAGTGATAATTTATTCATAAAAACATAAATGAAATTTGATTTTAATTTTTATTGATGCCATATCTTGCATCAGCACTCTTTGGAAAAAATGGTTATTTTACCGTAAATGCCATTGTTTAAACAAAGTTAAACCACACATTTTTCTTTAGAAAAAGCAAATAAACTAAACAAATATATTAGAAGATTGAATAGTTTAATCTGGTTTAATAGATTTAATCTGGTGATTCTGAGTGGATCCTCACCAGTCCACCCTTAATTGCAGATGTAGTTATTAGAGCATGGAAAGCGTCTTGGACGCTTTTTGGTTATAGTGATCAGGTAGATTGAAGGCCTTACTGTTATACAGAAGCAACTCACTTTAGATAAGCTACTTGTTTTCAACCTTCTACATGGTTAGTAACATTATTTTTAGGATTTTTTTTCTTTCCTAACTCTAAAGTTTGAAATGTTTGTTCTAACTGCTTTCAGTGAAGGCTTTGGCTCCTAATTGCAGGTAGGCTTTACCAGCTACAGGAGTGTGAATTCCATGTGCGACCTCACTGCGTACATGCAGTACTTAACACGTAATGCAGGAAGAGGCCCTTGGCTTATGCAAAGGTCAGCGTGACACACAACGTGGCAAACGAGAAACTTCTCTATACAGTGTAATGAGGAAGCAGGCCCATCTTCAGTGTTTCTACTGCATTACCAACAGCACTTCTTTCAGCTCATTAAACATCTTCCACAAAGATGATCTGCTCTAAATGTGCTCGCTTGGCATGATACAGATAAGAAAATGTGCTGATGTTATTACTCTGCTGTCAATCTAATACTGACTCGGACAGTAACAAAGGGCTTCCGAGTGGCGCTTCTTTTTTAAAAGTTCATTAGATTATTTACTTGCAAGTGTAGAGTTTAAGTGGCAAGAGTATTTAAAATTTCAAAGCAATAATCTCTTTGTATTACGTGTAGCGTTAGGGATTCTTCCATGTTCTAAGCGGCTATAGAAGCTGATTTTTAAGCTCCTCAGACGTAAAGAATTCTGGTAAAGAGAGGTAAAGAGCTTCTCATCGAATGTCTGATGATAACAAGAGAGCAACCTCTTCGATACAGCGGGTGTTCAGTCAAATACTCTTAAAATAGACTTTAGGACTTTGGTTTTCCATGATTTCTTGGTTTTATTTTGCTTTTTTGACTAAGAAAATTTTGCTGTTGCCAGATAATCTTGCCAAAACTCTATTCTCCAGGTTACATTGCTGGATTTACAGATTCTGAAGTGAGCAGTAGACAAGACCTCTATGATGTGTATGTGAATTTGGCAGACAGCGAGATCACTATTTCCCCTGGAGTGAAAGGTTGGTTGCCTTTAATGTTTTGGATTTGGGGGTGTTTATTCCAGAGTTCTTGGTAAGTACTGAACCTTGTCCTAAGTCAATGCAATCCTGAACCTGGTTCTCAAGCTTACGTGTAAGCTTCCGTCTTTCAATTGTATTGAAACCTGGAAAGACTGGTGAAACTTGAAATTTGGAAAGACGTGCCTTGACTTCCAACAAATATATGACTGAGATTTCAAAACATTCATGTTAAACTATTATGCGGAGCAGACATTCATTTGAGGGCTACTGAATGCATAGATATCATGTGGATCTTGAGGAAACACATTGCACTAACAATACTTGGATACTACTTGAAGGGAAATATTGTATGTATTTGTCTTGTTGTTGCTGTTCCTCGGGTATCTGCTTAGGGTCAATTTAGAAGTAGACTGTGAGATTAACTGTTGGCCTGTGCTAGCATGGTTCTTCGTAAGTCAGGCTGCTGCCCTTGTGGATATCAAATGCAGACACTCCTTGTTTCAGTTTGCTATTCGTGTGTGTTTCTAGATATCACAGGAACGGTCATTTTATAGCATTTAAAAAAGCTTCAGTTTTGTTGAACTTCATTTCTCTTTTATGGAAAGACCTCTACAGAACACGTTTTGGCATAGCTTCTGGATTGTGGCTATAAACCAGAACTATTCTGGCTATACATTGTCAGTGTAAGATGTTAAATCTTTTTTCTATTATTTCAAATATTGGCTTTAGCCCAACAAGAACAGTAAAGATTGAGAATATGTAAGAATGTCAAATTAGCAACTTCATCCACAGCAGTCAGTAAGACAAGCAGTCTTAGTCCTTTTAAGGGAATAGTTTCAAAGAACTTTGTTAAGGAAAGCAGATGAGTTAGGGGTATTTTCTCTCAAAAATGAGTAGCCTGTTCTTGCAAGAAAGATGCTACAGGTCTTAAATATTGGGTTCTCTATATTTTAAATAAAGATAGATGGTCTGAGTATGCATGTGTGGCTTTTTTTCCTACTCAGAGGCAATGACAATGGGGAAACTTCACAAAGAAATAGGACAACTAATTGTTCAATCTGCAGAAGACCCAGATAAATCGGAAAGCCAAGTCATTAAGGTATATATATTTTTTAATCTACTTAAATTACTTTTATCAGTAAAACTTAAGATGGGGGGAGGAAGCATAAGGAATATTGTCCCCAGAGATCAGTTGATTTCTCCTAATCTGCGCTATTACAAATAAGCATTTTTATTCTTCGTATAGTTTTTAAGGATGACATATTTGGTTTATATTATTTCTTGGGTAATCATATTGCTGAAGAAACTTCAGGAATTGTCTTGAATTTAAGACTTCCCATAAAACTAGTTTCCTTCTTTCATACTACATCGCATAAATTTTGCTGAATATCTTGTCGATAGCACTGTCAATACCTTGGAAAAAGTCCTACTGAGATAGGGCTTCTCAGCTATAGAGTCTGATTTTTACAATGATGCTTTTTCACTGCCTCCCACAGCTGATAGATTCAGTTAGACATTTCACAACTGAGCAGCTTAGCCAAAGAGCTCAGGTAGGCAAGTGATGAGGACGTGCAGAGTGGCTGTGCTCTCTCAGCTGCATCTTTATTCAACATTGCACAAGAACAAACTGAAGAGCCTTTGCAAATTTGCCTTAAAATAAATGGACTCCTTAACTTGAACCAGTTATTTACCATTATTCTCTCTTTGTTCTTAACTGTTAAAAATAAGTAGATGTTAGTAGATGTTAAAACATTAATACTCTATTCATGCTTGTTTGTTTTTCTGTCCTTCAAGGATATTTCACTGAAGACTAAAGAAATCTTGACTACTTTAGCATCACTCACAGAAGTTTCTGATGGCAATGAAAAACCAACCCTTAACTCTGAGGCCCTGAAACAAAAACGATTTCCTCCAGCTACAGAAAACTTCCTTGTTCATTTAGCAGCTGCTGAACAAATGCTTAAAATCTGATTTTGATGCACTTCACTGTTACGGACCAATATGAAAATACTCTCTTTGCCGTATGAGTCGGAATATCTAAATTTTATATGGAAAAATTAAAGGTATAGGAGTGAATGTCATATTTAACATGATTTAATGCAGAATATCAGAGCTTGACCTGGAACATATGGAGGCATATTTGGGAGCATTCCTGGTGTCTTTGTCTTTCTCTGGCTATAACTTTGTATATATGGCTCCCGTATTTCATATTGTAGCGTGGATGTATACACATGCAGCATGGTTCTGTGTGTCTTGGCTGTGCCAGACATTGTAGTGGCCATTTGTCCTGCAGGTTCCAGATGTTGGATAGCTCTCTTACTGCTCTGACTTATCTTCCTGATATCTGGAACGTCGGCTGTAGCATGTGTGCTGTAAAATCAATGCATTTTGGACATGCTCGTCTCTGTGCAGGGATATACCGATCATATAGTTGGTGTGGCTCATTCCGGGCTTCCAGGTATGCCAGCCTGTAAAATACAGCTCTTGCTCTAAGCTGCCTCTTGTCTGGAAATCCCAAACAAATGGACAAGTTCTCTTCTTTCTACTTGAAAGTACTTAGCTGTTTTAAAAAAAAAAAAAAAAAAGGATATCTGGGAAAATCTGACATGGTAGCCTTATAATGTGAAGGAAGAGGTATTTTAAAGCTCACGTGGGAGTTAAGCACCTCTTTTGGACTTTTGCCTTAGAAATTCCCCCCTTTTCACTCTGTCTCATGATTCTGATGAAGGGAGAAGAGGACAGGAATAATATATTTAAAATGAGGCTTCCTAGGGGGTTGTGGACAAGTGCTGCTTTACAGTTGGAGCCGTTTAAGAAGCTGTTAGGGTTCTCAGCTGAGAAGCCCAGATAACTGGCTGTTCATTCCTGATCCATTTGATACAAAATCAGATTAGTTAAAACCTAATGGACTAGGAATGATCAAATGGTCAATTACTACAGCTAGGGCACTGATTTCATAAATTGCTTGAGCTGTAACACAGGTGCTATTTGATGGAGCTCTGTGTAAACTAATTGTAGACGGATGCTTTCAAAGTAACAGGGAAAACTGGGAAATAGTTCAGAGAAAATTAAAATATGCCTACTTGTTTGGTTGCATAGCCATAACTC